TATTTAAGTATCATATTTAAAGGGTAAAAAAATCTTTCTATTTGCACTACATCTTATTTACCTACTCAAATTAAGGGTAAATACACTTATTTTGAGTAATTTGTACTCATTTTTAAATAGGTTTTGCAGTGTAAACAATATTTTAAAAAAGGCTTTCTTTTTTTTCTTCGGATAACTGCATACATAATTATTTTGACAAAAGCAGAATGTCTAGAGTACTTCTTTAATATTTTAGAGTGACTTTTTTTGCTGTAAAGAATCCATCATATTTTTCATCAGGCAGTTTTTGGGTTGTGCAGCAAATAAAGTCATTTTCTAATTTATATAATCTAATCTGTCTTGTTGATGCCTACTGACATGAATTTACAGGAACTTGAAGAATATCAGCACTGATTTTTCTCATTTCAAACATGTGCCTTATTGTAAACGTGGCAGATGGAGAGCTGCTGCTTACAAACGCAAGGCTACTGCTCATTAGATGAGAAATCTGTTGGACACAGGTGGACAACATCCTTCAGACACTGAAGCAACACAAAGAGGATTTCCTTGTTTTCTAAAAGAGCAGCAATTGGAGGACAAACATTTTTTCTGGATTTGTTGGAATCAGTAACCTGATTTTAAAGCATGAAGAGAGTTTGGATTTTTAGGTATTGCTGGACAATCGTTTGTGTTTTTTGCATGAAGGTCCCACTGCTCTTCTGAAGTCTGTAACTGTGGTCATTTTTATCGCCATTTAATGTTCTTTTATTTATTTTTGTTTGGCTGTAATGGTTCAACATTGTAAATAAAGACAACTGGTTTGCGAAATGTGTCATCTGTAGATACTCTTTATCTTCAATTGTACAAAATTAATAATAAAAAAAAAAAGGCTGCAGCTCATTAACACACAATGGTGTCAAAAGTACACATTTTTTACTTAAGTAGAAGTATAGATACTGCTGTTTAAAACCACTCTTGTAAAAGTATCAACTTGACCTCTTAACTCAAGTAAAAGTAAAAAAAAGTATGTGCTCCTAAAACTACTTAAAGTATAAAAGTATACGGTAACCTGTAAATAAACAGCCAGATGCCACTATATGAATTAAAGCTAAATTTTTAGACTATTTCTAAAAACTCTTTGAGATAGGGCCAAGGATGAGGGAGGTCTTGTTGGTCTCCATCTCCCGATACGCTCTCGCCTGTGTCCGACCTTTCAGACATTTCAACATCTTTTTCTGAACCTGACATTGTAGCATGGTACAGACAATTCACATTTGCAGTTTGAAGAACACCTGCTTGCTTCTGATGATTTCCTTTGGCGTCAGCACAAATTTGATGAATAGATAACGAGTGTTTGAACCTCGAGTGTTTGCATTATATGACTCCAATGACACTAGTTTTTCACTAGATGTGGATGGCGCCAATGATCTGCATTGGATGGCACACATGACGTGAAATAAGTACTTATAAACTTAAACTGAAGCCAAGAGTAACGAGTAACGTTTGTTTTACAAATATAAGGAATAGAAAGTACAGATACTTGTGTGAAAATGTAATGAGTAGAAGTAGGAAGAAAAATAAGTAATAGAGTAAAGTATAGATACCTAAAAAGTGTACTTAAGTACAGTAACAAAGTATTTGTACTTCATTACTTGACACCTCTGTTAACACAGCAGAAGATGGTGGAAAAATAGCGAAAGAGAATAGAATGCACACAAAGTACAAACAAGTAAATTCAGATTTAGTGCAATTATTTAGACAAAATGTAACAACTTATTTATTTAACTATTATCTAACCAAGCAAAAACAACCCACAGAGCCCGATTGTATCTTTTCTTAAGGGTGACTTGGCCAGAAGGTCAACAACCTCAAATCGATAGAAAAAAGAAATAATAGTTCACAAATGAAATACAGTTTATTAAATATGCATGGGGAAGTGCTGAAATGCAATACTGATTAAACATCAGCAAAGTATAGATATAGCACTACTATAGGACTAATATAACTATTGCAGTTTCACACCTTTAGAATTCTTAGTGACTATCACTGTTTTGTGGAGGCCTTATATTTAAAATGGGATTAAACATTTGAAATGAACTAAGTACAGACAATGTTTGTTCAGTTTGGAAAGTATTCCAGGTCACATGAGCAGAATAACCAAAATGCTTTCCCAATCTCTCTCTGAATTTTAGGATGTTGCAGATGGATAAAACCACAAGTTAACGCTCCATGTTAGCGTAGAAACCAAACCATAAATATCAAGAATGTGCCAATTGATTGTTTCAGAGCAGAAATCTGGGAGAGGATATCAAAACGAAGGTTGGTAGCATTTAAAATATTTGTCTACTGGTTTATCATTAATAGACAAGTTTTAGCAGAATACTTACCTCATATTTTAGATTAAGCTATTGCTTTGAGTAACATGAAATTTGAGATAATTATTCAAAATCAAAATACGTTTCGGTCGGTGCCGTGGTGGGGCCGGTGTTCTTTGCCCGGCCCTACTTCAGGGTGGCCGGCTGCTGGCGGAGCCCGCAGACTTGCCTCCGCGGCTCCCCGGGGCGCCGGCATGGCGGTGGCTGGGGGGCTTCTTGGGGGCTGTCTCTCCTCCCTTGGTGGGGGTCCGATTTCCGGGGCTGGCCCCTCCTTGGTGCCTTCGCTCTTGGGGTCCCTTTGGGCGCCTGTGGCTTTGGGTCTCCCGGCGCTGGACTCAGTGCTCTGGGGGGTGTGCCTCTCCGGCTCTCCACAACCACTATTGAGCATTTTTTCTATGGATAAACTTTACATGCACAAGTTCACCCTCACAAACAACTACAGGTGCTTGGCTCCAGGTACTCAGAGATTCACTTCCATACAGAAAGCCCACCGTATCTTCAGGTAACACAGAGTACATGTCAGACTTAATAATATTACTTTAGCGATAGTTTCAAGGTGTTGATTTATTGTATGTCTCGTACCATGTCTTTCGGTTGTGCTGTTTTTTTTTCATCTCGTTACAGGTGATGAAGCAGACTGAAAATGTTTTGTCATTGTCTCCTTTCTCATCTTTCTTTCATCTTTTCTCTTTATTTTTTCCTTTTCCTCTTCTGTTTTTCTGCTCTATTTACATTGCAGTGTCCATATAAACTGTAAAACTCCCTGCATAATTATAATAAAACAATTTGTATGCATGAAACAAGATGAGCAATATGGCAATTGCCATACTGCTACACTTGTGAAAGTAAAATCTGTTGGGCTCTTTTTGGCATCAAGACAATTATTCTTATTGCCACATTGCCAGACAGGACACTGTAAAAAAAAAAAGAAAAAAAAAAAGAAAGAAATACGAAATAAAGCAAACGTGTAAAAAGTAATGTATCCTTTAGATGTATGGGACCAAAAATGAATTAGAATCCTTAGAAATTAGTTATCCTTTAGAAACCAATGTTAGTTCAGTTAAAAATCTGTTCTGTTTCTACAAATAGTTTCACATAAGTTAAATATAAAGTAAATACAATTAAATGCAATTCCCACTGAGCACTTGATGAGTCTGACTTGGTTAACATTTAAAAACTACTTGAGGTTTAACAGCTTAATCATTGTTTCCTAAGGTGTTTACATTCAATTTTTAAGACCATGACAGTGATGTGATCTAAGTGGCCTTTTATCTGAGATCTTAGTTGCTATGTATTATATTATTCTCAATGCCTTGGTTTTTGTCAATTCTTCTAATCAGGAGTAATCTAAAAAAATGGAAAATAATAGTTAAAGACATGAAAATAATTGCAGCATGATCTGGTAAAAAGGTTAATCTGAAGCAATGTGGTTTTGTCTTTGCATGTTTATCCAAGATCTGGGCATGTCAAAATTTACCTGAGGATGTAAAAAAAAAAAGCTAATACCTTTGGTTTCTGAATATCCTGTAGTTTTCAGTTAAACAGGGTGCACTAAATGTGGATGTTACTTTTATTATTTAATGTCAAAGTAAGCAAATTAGTTTTTTCTCAAAATCTGAAAGCTTCTGCTCTAATTATGGTAAGGAAAGCTAATTCCCCTCTGATCCCCTCAGATGTCATCCTAGTCGCCAAGGCATTTAAATGGACAAAGAATGAACCGTGCGTTTTTTAAGCGGATTGTTGCCCATTAGGTACTTTCATGAGTAATATCTGTTGACGTCTCATCCGTTGGTGGGGAAGTGACTAAGAGCTATATGAAAACACACACAAACCCACACTGAGGAAAATGAAAGTACAAAGGCATGAAATATATGCTCTATAAAGCATATAGAGCTATGAAAGTCAGGGCCACCCTCTCCCATTAGATTATAAAATGAAATTATCATTGGTATGTAGAAAAAGTAATAATTAGTGATTATAGTGTTGGGCTGGGATCTCTGTTATGCTAATGATGATGATCTTTTTTGGATGTCATTTATTCATTCCTTTATTCATCGATTTGTTCATACATTCATGCTTTCCAATTCCTGTTAATAAAGTGTATGATGTTAGCGGAACAAGAAGTCCAGTCTAGCAAAAGTTCACCCAAAATGCTTCAATAAAATGATAAATAACTCTCCGTCCGTAATGACTGTATCTAAAACTTTGGTGCGAAACCATCTGGTTTCCTGAGTTTGCTTTTTTTTGTGGAAGACTGAATATAGAAAACCTCCAAGTCACAATAAAATAGTAAAAGCACACACTTTACACCTTTTCCATGTCATATAAACACTGTTAACCGTTTCTTTTACGTATATTGTATTTGTTTGCAGGACATGAGAGGCTGATGAATCAGCTTCCATTTGTGAGGATTTATTGATTTTTTATCTCTGGGAGTTGTGTTTTACCACCCTGAGGACTTAATAATTCCCCCTGGCTCTCAGTCATTAATGTCTTATAAGTTTCCTCCATCAAATCCTCTGTTAACGTAGCATATTTTGCCAAGTCTCCAGGGATTTCCAGCCATGGGGTTAATGGCATATATAAACCAGGGGAAAAGCTACGACCCATCAATTGTACCAAGAAGCCACAAAGGTAGGAAACCAAATCACAATAAGAGTAACCTGTTTTTTTGCTTTGCAAGATTCCAATCTGAGGAGTACAGACATTTCCTCAAATAGCCACCATTTGGCTCCTGTTCGAATCAGTTGGACCTTCTCTTCAGCTTCAGAATATGGAGACAGCTGCAGCAGTAACTCTTCTGGCTTTGATTCTGGCAATGGCTGGAGTCAGTCAGGCTCTTCACATCCAAGGCGGAGGAGAAAAAAATGACATGCTGCCTGGGAGCTCAGAGGAGAGCATGGCGAACCGCTTGAAAGGGCTGGTGAGACAACATATCAGAGGCGTAAACTATCTAACCTGTTTATTCTACTGTCTCATGCAGAATAAGGCAACTCCACTTAACAGAATGTCATTTCTGTTAAGTGGAGAATTATTCTGGTATCTTCAAATGAACAAAGTTGAGTGCAGAAAGAACTCATGGCCACAGATTATGTCACAGTACTCTGTCCGAGTTAAGCACAGACTGTCTGTCACATTAAAGTGATTAAAAGCCTCTCAGACAGAAGTCATGCCAATGTGTTCCCAGTCTGTCGCTTCATGTGGTCTAGAATTCTAATATGAAATTAGCCTTTTATTGAAAAAGAGGGGATAAATCATAGAACTCATTTAGATTTTACGAAGCACTCTTTTCCATGCAACACCACAGCAGCTTATACTATTGCAACAACTTTACAGGGGTTTTCCTGAAAGGGTCTTTTCTCAAGTCAGACTTTAAATTTTCAAAAACATACGTTTCTCTGAATACAAATGTATGTTGTTTGCTTCAGGAGATTGAGAGCAGAGACAACAGTCTTGATGATCGCCTGCTGGCCTCAGTGCTGAGAGCCCTGCTGCTGGAATTCCAGAGAGAAACCAGGGAATCTGTCCTCCATCAGCCACAGAGGTCAGTTAGTATGATGGTTTGCACCTTATAGCATTTCCATTTTTACCAGATTTAAACTACAGATTGCTGCAAGCTTATATGTTATTCTGTTGCAAACATTTTCTTGAAATAAAGCTAGAAGAGATACTGAAACCCATTTTCCATGTCATTATAAACACAAGTTATTTATTCACCATTCCAACATCACTATATCTGTATTTTCAAATAGCAGTAAGCAGAGAAATTACCATGTTTTAAAAAGGATAATTTCTGCCTATCACACTAGTATTGGCCTCAAAAGGTTGGAAATCATTTTGAAATTGTTGGCTGCAGGGTAGTTTTTTTCTTCTTATGTAACAGCAATTTGAAATTGGTTCTGTTTATTGCATATAATGGGATATAATTAGGGTCTGAAAGAAAACGCACATTGCTTCATAACTGCAGGTTTTGATTTACACTTAGTTTCAAAGCAATTAAGCTTTTATCTTTTTTAAGACAAGCTTTTTCAGATTACGGTAGATTGAATCTTACACTTAATTCTCTTGTCTAACTTAAATTTTTTATTATAAAAAAAGTTCATTTTTATTTTACAAATTGTTTTTTGCTAATGAATATAACACTACAGAACAAGGTTCTTACGCAAAGTTGATTTAAATTGTGAAGCTAATCTTAAAAAAAACTCAAGGATTATACTGTTTATACAGTTTTTTTCTTCAGAAATCTTGATTAAAAAAAAATTTAAAAAATAAAAACATTGATTAGCCCACTTTATAACGACTTAAATTACAAGTGTTGACTTTCTTATTGCTGCTGATCCCACACAGGTTTGGCCGCAGCTCCAAAGGACAGGTAGTGTTGGAGGATCAGATCCAACCCCGGGACTGGGAGGCTGCACCTGGTCAGATCTGGAGTATGGCTGTGCCTCAGAGGTTTGGCAAGAAGTAGTCTGGCACCCGGATCCGTTCTCCTATACGGCTGAACAGACGAGCATATGTCTGCACACAAAATTAAAAATAAATAACATCTACAAAGCAGTAGCATTATTCTCTTTGACAAATACTGTGGTCAGACATAAGGCTTCTTTTTATACTTTGATTTCAATTACAATGAAGTTGTAGTTTCTGTTTTTCATTTCTAACATAAGAAAAATGTGAACTGGATTTTTCTGTTTCTATAAAAAAAAATCCTAATTACCTCCCAAAGTGTTTGTTGTAAATTGTCAAATAAAACAGCTTTGAACTAAGAAAACTGTGAAATATCATACATGAACACACTGCAGAGGACAGATAGTTATCTTAAGTACAGTTATAAGTTGTTGCCTGTGCCATTTGTAGGGCATATGGGTCATGACAACCACAGAACAGACTCAGTTACTCATCGTTTCGTGCTCAGGTGTTTTCAGAACTGATTGCCTCTTGTTTAAGCCTTTCTGTAGTTAATTTATTTTTTACTACAAGGATTATATGTTGTACCAAACATACAATCCCAAAGAAAACATGTTTTTTATTTAAAGGAAAAGTCCGGTCAGCAAGGAATAATCAATGGACCATTATCTAAAACTAATACGTTTGTGATGGTTTAATGAATTTAGCATTAATCAGTAAAAAAATAAAAATAATTTTTGCCGCAATTACAGAGTCCAGGACCGGCCATTTTTGCCCAAATATAGTAACACCTCACTCCTGACATCTTCGGGCAGTGAAGTCATGGTGTGGTAAGTAGAGCGCCATTCTCCCTGCTTTACAAGCAAAATCAATGGGAACTACTGTACTAGACACACCTGCAATCAAGAACAATAATTAAGATTTCGAAAGGACTTCAACATTTAAATTCATGAAATTTATATTTAAACTGACAATGCCCACGTGCATGGCAGTTGGATGTTGTAATACATCGGGTAAAAGTGACCTTTCTGATTCATGATCCACCACGGGTTCATCATCAGATTGCCAACTTCAAAAAAGGGAGGATTTGCCATTGAACTTCTTGCCAGATAAAAAACATGCTAAAAGAAGAATGTTTTAATAATAATAGCGCATTTTCACAAACACCAGATACAGCATTGGGACTTTCTCAACAGCCGATACCGCACCGTGACGTCACAAACCAGTAGGTGGCAGTAGTGTTCTTTGACAAACATGGATGCCTCCAGTAAAGCACATTCAAATGAAAATTACTCTCAATTAAAACACTTATCATTTATTGAACAATATATAATAATTTCATATGTAGAATACTTTCAGAAGTATGAAATCTTAATATAAGCGGACTTCTCCTTTAAGCTAAAAGAAAGAAAGGGTTTAATCTGAGCCTTTTTATGTACTGTACCAGTTGGCCTCCTTAACTGTTCAATCACATTACTAAAACTCATTTGGTGATTATTGGAAAACTAGGCAAAAAATGTAGATTCACAAATCAAGAGGCCCGCAATAGATTCACAAGACTTTCCAAGTTTTCTTTAGCCTAACAGTTATTAGATGCTTACATCACCTCTTTTTTTTCCAATTATTTCTGTTGTTAATATTCTGTAAAAGTTATTATACCAGCTACTCCAGTTCTGTTTGGCCTGTTTGTCGCCGGATCCGACTCCTATAAGTCAGAATGATGGACCTTTTCAGACATTGTAAGGGCCTGCATATGCAAATAATAACAAACCACTTGTTTTAAAAGTTACATTAGAATTTATAAAATATGGAAAACCTACAGTATCCCAAGGAGGTTATGTTTTTAGTTGAGTTTGTGTGTGTTTGTCTGTCTATGTGCAGGATAACTTGAAAAGTTATAAGGAGATTTTGCTGGAAATTTTATCAAAGGTGCACCTTATGCCAAGGAATAATCCATTGAATTTTGGTGATCCACATCATTATCCAGATGCAGGATTTTAGTAAAGGATTATTTAACATTATTCGTCAGAATAAGCAGTTCCAACCTAAACTAGAGGGAGGCAGCAGTGACTATTGACAGCTTCAGCATCGGACTCAAAAAGTCCAGAGGCATTATACTGTAACAAAAACACGGGAAAGGTGAGCCATGCCTCGCTTGAAGTCTTGATCTTCTCATCAAATAAGAAAGTAGAGTGAATGAAGAAGGTGAGAGCAGAACAAACACCAGAGGCTGTAGAAACATGCTGTGCATTTATAAACTTATCAAAGGATTTTAAGGAAATTGTTACCAGAAGTGCACTTCATACCAAGGAACAATTACAATACAAATTTGGTAGTGATCCAAATAATGTGCGAGTTTTAGCTATAGGTCTAAGTCACAAAATGGGGCAACATTTCCTGCTTGCCAGAAGTCTGCGCTCTCTGAGTGCTTTTCTATTTCACCATCGTTTCATTCAGAACACAGAAATAAAACACAGAAATGTTTTCTGAAGCTTTGCAATGTGTTTACGACTCCTGCTAATATATCTCTCTGTTACCTGGACATTTTTCCAATCCCAACGAACATTCACTTTGCTTATGAAGGGAAAACAGCTTGAAAACCAGCCTTATGAGGAATGTGTCAACATTTCTTTCTTAATTGCTTCTTGCCTCTTGTAGGTATAACCTCTATGTACAGCGGTCACTTTCTGTCTCTCAAGTCCTCTTGCTGATGGCCTTCACCAAGCCATTGATCAACTTTCTTTCAGGCTTTAACTGCTTGTGAGAATGGAAAAAAAGGAAAATATGGCTGCACATAAAAAAAAAACTTACCTAAAGTGAAGGGATAAATATTGGTGGTATAATGTGACTCTGTACAAAAGATGTAAAATCTTCTGTGTGAAATATGTTTTTTATTCATACAATACCAAATGTATATTCATTATAAATAAGTACTTTTTTTTTTTAATCACTCTCATAGCAACATTTGCCCTACATACAGTATACATGCAAGTAACTTTTACAAACATTCATGAAAAAAAATGCAATAAATATGTAAAAAGTCTAGTTGTGATTTTCCTGGCTAGTAAGTATTCCACAGTCAACTATTTGCAATTTTATAAAAGAAACAGGAAGAAAGGTAGCTATTCAGATTTAAGTCCCACAAAATCACATAGTTGGGATAAAGAATGGTGAGATGCAAACCTTGCACAGTTCGTCTACTTTTCCTGCAGTCAACAAATACAAACCAAAAACAATGTACTAAACTGACTCTATACAACTGCATCAAACTCTTTTTTTTTGCACTTAGTGATGTGAAGTCGACTATATTTGACTCTAGAGCAGAGCAGAGCAGATGGGTTCTCTTACAGATTCTGCCTCTCTCCCTGGCAATAAAATAGACCAGTCAGGCTTTGGTAGTTGCCAAGAAATCAACACTTGCCTGAAGGCACTATGTCATGTGTAATTTTAGGTGCAAAAGGTAATAATGTTTGGTTTTTTTTTTCTTTCTATTCCCTAGCTTTATTAAAAAGAACTCTTAAATCCTCAGCATATAACAAGACAACTTCATATTTGCAACTTGCTAGTAACAGTTTTTTATTGTTTAGTATATTTTTTTACTTCTTAATTTCTTCTGTTTTTTTCTAATGTTAACCACATCAGTTCATTTGCGGTTGTTAGATACTATATAGTGTTGTTATTAGTATCATCGCCAGCCTTCCACTGTTGTGATCTTTAGTTAATTACTAGGGATCTAGCGGTATGTTTATCTTTACTTCATGGTAAGTTTTTTTCTTTGTTTCCTCTCAGTCCTTTTTAGCTTAGTATTCTCCCTTTCTCCTCGGTCTGTCCCAGTATTTAACCAGTGACTTGTACATTACGCCTTGTGGAAAGCTTTCGTTATGCTACATGTTATGGCTCACGTTCCTTATGTCCCATTTTGCCATGTAAATTCTGTAACTGGTTTAACTCAATTGAAGGCATATTAATCGATGTCAACTTTCCAGAGCCCTGCTTGCAATCTGGCTCAACGAACTCCACAAAACCCTGATCGTTCCCTGTTTCAAAATGATCGGCAAGGATCTAAAAGACATGCCTAACTGTCTTTGGTTTGGAGGAACATGGCTGATCACAGTCTGATGGCAAACCTTTTTGATAATCAAAGATAGATAGTGATGTTTAAGTCCACTTGACCAACATTAGTGTTTGATTTGCTGTCACAAACTCAGGGTCAAAAATAGCAAAATGTCATATTAAAACAAAAAGGTTTAAAACTGGATTAAAAATGAAATCTTTTGTTGATGTAAAAAAAGAGACATATTAAACCATTTTCCAAGTATGCTGTTAGTGTTGAAGGGGGTCCCCTGTTACTTCTGAGCACCATTTTGTTGATCCTTAGTATTACATTTTAACTATATGATGAGATGGTAATACTTATTTTAGAAGATTTTTGTTAATTTATCAATAGATTATAGCTGTACTTTGACTGTGGAATGATGATAACTTTAAGTGCTAGTGACAAAAAAAGGATGTCTACAGTACTAAACGTTTACCGGTACTTCTCTTTAGACAAATTATGTAAAAGTTGAATAGATTAATTGTAAAATCAATGGAAACATTAACAGCATATTCAGCAGTATTTAGCCTGAAGCAATGCTGAGCCTCTGCTCACAGCCATGTCAAAGGCTGTTGTCTGTATTGGATTTACAAGCACCTTGGGAAGCAGCATACAGTAAGCTTGGGCACTAATTAAAACACAGCAACATGCAATTACTCTGTGAGTTAACAATTTCCACAACCAATTACAGGGAGGGATATGTCATTTCCTCTTAGCTTGATATTTTAATGAAGGTGTCCTCCAATTCTTATTTATTTATTTTTTTATAGGCCAGAAAAATAAAAGAAAGATTCACAATTAGAGATGCACTGTTCCCATGTAAATATCGTTATTGGTCCCTATTTAGAAGAAAATTCTAGATCAGGTATCGGTGACTATGGGGCTAATCCATAAGGGCAGATGGAGTCTAATCTTATGATATGCAGTCTCACAGATGTTATGCATTAGTAGTTGTGTTTCTATCAATGTTGTTTTGTGAGCATTTAAAAGTATCACATTAGAAGAGCTTGATTGAAACAGCAATATTTGAATCAACTTTCAAAAAGGTTTTTTAACACTTGCTTGAGGTGGTTTTGGACTGTTTTTCAAAAAGATTAAACTAGGGCTCAAACAATTAATCAGATTAATTGTGATTAATCGATTATTGAAATAATTGTCAACTAATTCAGTTATTGATCAATCGTTAACTGGAGTAAAGAGACTCTA